TTACTAATGTGGGTGGAGGATGGAGAAAGGGGAAGAAGGAGAGGTAAGAGCAGTTTCTAAGTGATCTCCCATCCCCTTGGGTCTCCCTAGAAATGCTGCCATTTGTGGGAACTTAATAAAGTTATCCCTCGGTATCCATGGGAGATGGATTCCAGGACCCCTGCAAATACCAAAACCCATGGATGTTTAAATCTGTTCTATAAAATGACTTAGTATTCTCATATAACCTACACACATCCCCCTGTGTACTTTAAATCACCTCTAGATTACTTATAATACCTAATGTCATGTGAGTGCTATGTAAATAGTTGTTATACTGTATTGTTTAGGAACAAATGACAAGAAAACAAAGTCTGTACATATTCAGCATTAATGCAACTGTTGTAGGCCTAATTATATAGTATACATCAGCAACAATGTAACTTTAAAAATATATATGTTTTATGGATTTTTTAGAGAGAGGAAGGGAGAGAGAGATAGAAACATCAGTGTGAGACAGAAACACCTATTAGTTGCCTCCCACACACCCCCTGCCAAGGATCAAGCCTACAACCTGGGCATGTGGCCTGGTTGAGAATTGAACCGGGACCTCTTAGTCCATGAAGCGACGCTCAATGCACTGAGTCACAACAGCTGGGCCAATGTAACTTTTTTCTGAATAGTTTTGATCTGTGGTTGGTTGAATGTACTGATTCAGAACCTGAATATAGAGGGCCAACTATATACTCTAATGGAGCCATCTGAGGTCCATGGAAAGACATTTGACTCAATTCAATTCGACCAGTATTTATAGAGCACTACTATGTTTAGAATGGCAGGCTATGTGCTGAGAGGACCTAGAAAAACTTACAATATAGTTGGAGAAAGGGCATAAATCAAATATAAAAACTTCACATGGCTTCTGCTAAGTGCCAAACAGTAATAAATAACTTGGCCTACTCTTATCAGTGAAGTGAATTCCTTGAGAGGTTTGTATGAAATGGTAGCATAAATGGATAGAAGGAAGAATAAAGGAAGAGAGACGCCTAGATGTATTTCTTGAACTTGGCAAGCTTGTTTCACTCCTTCTTCATCCATACATGTACATTTATGAGCACCTACTATGTGTCCGTCATAGTGTAGACAATGGGGCTGCAGAGATAGGTAAGATGTTCTGATTGTGGCCCATAGGAGAAACTAATTTATCCTTTTCTACCACTTGACACAGAGAGGAAAAAGCTGGTTCCTTAATGTACACCACTAGGTTCCTGGGGTTTCTCTCTCCAAGGCACTTAATTACTTAATATGTACAAAACAGAAGAGTCTTTTTATGTTCACCAGAGGAAGGAATTTATAAACACTGACATTCCTGGAGTGTGGGAAATTCAGACTTCAGAATGCCGTCTTCACGATATGTTGCCCATTTACTTGTTTTTCTGCAGCATCCACTCATTTGTCAAACCTGCCTCGCTCTACTCCGCTCACCAGGACAGATCCCAGACTTCTCCCAGGCTCCTCTCCTTCTGCACTGCCCCTCCCCCGCCCCACCAGAGGCGAGGGTAGTGCTAATTGTGTCCTGGGCTGTTATCAATAGGAGACTTATGGCTCATCTGTGGAAAGAAAAGTGAATTTGCTTGTCTGGGCAGTTCCTAAATGGCTTGGTACTTTGGATTTCCCTAATGACTTGGATGAAATAATGCAATTTCCTGGGTTTCATGGAATTCTGAAGTCTCCAGCTTTTAATGTACTCTATAGCTATTTAAATGTGTGATGCATTTTGTGTTCCTGTTTGCTTGGGCCCATTCTAGTGAGCATGCCTAGTTTTAGAGGCATCAGCTGCTGCCATCCTCAGGGCTGTTAAGAAGGAGAGAAGCCTGATAAGCTGAGGAAACAGTGGTACCAAATGAATGTGAGGGTCATGTAAAGGCTCAGCAGTGCTAAGAGGAGCCCATCATTTCTGTTTGCAAGTACAAATTCTCTAATATGGGCCAATGGGTTTACCGTTTATAGTTATTGTTTGCATCCCTGGCATTGCTAATGATAGAAGGATGCATAATAACTCAGCAACTCTGAAATGTAGGCTCCTCATCATTTCGATATTGTCCCATCTGACAGTATCCCAGGGTCACTGCAATGTCTGCAGTCAGGGTAACAGCAACACTCCTGTCACGTAGCACTCTTCCCAGAACTGGATGGAAATAGCTTGAGGCTCCCTTGGGGTGCCTGGGTGCTCTGGCCCTGAGCCTGGACACAATGCTAGATAGAGAAATTTCTCCCCAAGACAGTTCTTAAACTCTGACCTCAAATTCTTTCTTGACCCAGGGAATTTTGGGTAGCTCATTTATCAGTTTTCTCAAGAATCCTTTTCTATCATCTGCTATGTTCAACTTCATGTTTACAAACTTCTATCTTACATTCTGTTGTTGAAACTAACAGTCTATCATTCCAAATTTGGAAAAAGCTGTATGCATCAGGGGGAAAAATAACAATGAAAGTTTATTCTCCCAACTACAGTGTATCGCAGTTGATGAACAGAATTCAATCATTAAAATATTTATACTGATATGGTAAAGTGATTTACAGTGTTAGTGAGGAAAAGGCAAGGTGCAAATTTACGCCAAAAGAAAGGAAACGACAAATGAGCCAACAGCATAGAAACTGTCTGGAAGGGAATGCACTAAAAAGTCTTCTAGGGGATGGTGCTATGATTGATGTCAGTGCACAGAAACAAAGTTAGCCCAGGGATTCCTTGTGTCACTTATTGTATCCTCCTTCTTCCCCTCCCCCACGGAGAAGGTCCCAGTACCTTTCCAGGAGCACTCAACTAGCTGAGATTAGATCAGACCATCTCTTGACTCTGTCTGTGTGCTTATGGGCCACCTGCTACTTCAGGCAGAGATGGGCGTGAAGAAGGCTGAAGCCGCAGAGAGCAGCGAGAGAGCCCTGAGATCCAGTCAAGCAGGGTTTTGGACAGCACTGTTGGGATTTGGAAGAAACCAGAAAGGAATAATGAGAAATTACAGATTTGAAACTAAACTGTTAAGTTTAGATTCTCTTCTGTATTGCGCATTTTGTTAAGGCTTTAATTCTGCGGTTATTTTCCAGAATGCTGCTTTCTTAGGCAGTAATTCATCCTCAATGACGAATGTTTGTTTCCTCTAAAATGCCTAGGATGGGTGGCAAGAGATCTTAGGGGTCTCAGAGAGGGGAGTCTGACCAGCAGGGAAGGTCTACAAGGGGAGTGAAGAGTGTGAGATAACGGTGGCCTGCCTCTCCACGTTCACGCAGAGAAGTCTGCCTGGGCCTGACTGTGGAAGTCATACCTGCGGAAACAGGCCTGCTCCTTCCCTGGAGTCTCCTGACTCATTCTCATGTAATATTCTGCAAGGAAAATTCGTCCCCTGTTAGAATTTCCAATTTGACAATTCATCATCCATTTGCTCCACATATTCAAAAGGTACTTTGCAAAGGGATAAGTGTATGTGCTGGGTGTGTGTGTGTGTGTGTGTGTGATGTGACCAACAGACAGCATGATTTTCCTTCTTTTCCTCCCTCCCTCGCTCTGATTGGACTGGACTAGAGTGCCCATTGACACTTACTGCAGCCTCAGCCCCTCTCCAGAGTGCCGACACTGCTTGGCAAAGTAAGTTGTTCCTTTGAAGGGAGAGTTAAACATGAGAGATTGAAAATCTAAACATTAAAATGAAAGAATTTTTATTTTAATAAAAATAAAATACATCCCTTGCAAATTAGTTAAACCCATTGGATGATTCATGGCAACCAATTGCTTTCTCCCTGAACTTTAGGTTCTTCTGCTTAGAGCGGGAGGTAGATGAGTTCCCCAGGGCTACCATGATAAACGAGTGCAAGCCTAGTGGCTTAAAGCAACAGAAATTCCATTCTCTCTCCGTTCTGGAGGCCAGACATTCGAAATCAAGGTGTTGACAGGGCCATGGTACCTCTGGAGGCTCTAGCAAAATTATTCCTGCCTTTTTCAACTTTGAGTGGTGTCAGATATCTAACCAGTTCACATGGCCTTCTTCTCTGTGTGGATCTGTCAAAAGTCTGTCAAAAAAACCTGTCCCTAATTCTTTTTACTTCACTTAGTCATCTAGGAACAAACTTTGAGATCTCGTTCAAAATTAAAACTGACTCTCATCTGTTGATGACTCTTTGAGGATACCTGTGACTTCATTTTGGGCCCACCTCAATAATCCAGGATAGATTCTGACCCTCAAGACCCTTAACTCTGCCACAATTTTTGTCATGTAAGGTAATACATAGATTCTGGGATTAGGATGTGGATATATCTTTGGTGCCTCCATTCAGCCTACTACTCTAGGTAACTTTTCCCCCCTTTGATCTTATTACAGAACAGGCCCTACTGCACAAAAAGTTTGCTGCTTTCTAAATTCCACAAGTTTTCAAGTTTTGCTTCTATTCTTTCCCTTTGTTAATGACCCATCTAGAAACGTGACTCATACTGGCTTCTCCCTTGGTGATTAATGTTGCGTTATGAAAATAAGGCACTTTCTCTGATTCCCTAGCAACTTAACAGTGGTTCTGAGCTTGTTAAAATTCCAGATCTGTGTTTATACAAACAGAGCTCCTAGGGTCAAGCTCATGTCTCTAAAAGTCTGACTAAACAGCTCTGTGACTAGCACATTAGTATAATTAGCAAGAAACTGCCCCTGATTCTCCTCAATTCACTTTGTCATCAGGGAACAAATGTCATGATCTTCAGAATTTTCACCTTTTGCTGACTTCTGCAGGCCCTTGAGAGTTCGAGAGCAGTTCTCCTACCACCGCATGCATGAAGCATGTTGCCATTTTCTGTTTTCCTCAAGGTCCCCAGGAGAAACAGGTTGGAAAATGTGTCCAATCATTTCTCTGCTCTCTTGGGATTATCTTCTTTTTAAAGTCATCGATTGACCCTTTTCCTATCTACTCTAAACAGATGGCTTCATTTTTCATCTGGGGAAATCTGATTAAAATACAATTTCATCTCTTTGTGTCAACAGGCCAAGTTATGCCAAGAGGGATACTTTCCAGTGATGTTACTGCTTATAGAGTGTTTAGAAATCCCAGGCTGTTGTAAAAATAAAAGAAAGCTTGAAGAGATTTCTCCTCTCCCTGAGGTTTACGTATTCAGAGGTAAGGAAAAATGGAGGCTTTCCCCTTCTTATCTTTCTAACATGCTTGAAGAGTCTTGTTCTGCTCCTTGAAACCCTGACACGCATGAGTTGCTCTGGGAGTGAAGGGTTGGATTTTCTTCACACTTCTTGGTTAAACAAATATTGGAAACAGATCCCCAGGTCTGGGAAGAACCTGTTTTCAGAGCAGTAGCCTTGGTCCCAGTCCCTTCCCCACAAAGAAGCAACAAATGATGAACAAAATAATAAGAGGCATGAACGCATGGAACAGACTGACATCTGTCGGAGGGGACGGGGACTGGATGAAAGAAGGCGAAGGGATAAGCCAAAGAACATATATGCATAGCCATGGACACAGACAACAGTGTGGTGATGGCCAGGGGGGTTGTGGAGTGGGGGCTGAGTGGAGGTGGGTAAAGGGAGGAAATGGGGGACATCTGTAATAGTGTCAAAAAAAAAAAAGGCAGCAGCACACAGATTGCCACCTGCCCTGACCCCTGGTACTGTGGTGAGAGTCAGATCACTGCACCGTCCTGGCCACGTCCTTGCCAGAGCTACAGGCCATTCACACAATGGTTCCAGGTTCTCGTTCCTCTTCATTTTCACAGCGGCCCAGAGCAGTCAAGGAAGACATACTTTTCATCTTTCCCAAGTTTCAAGATTTTTGTCTCTTGTGGGAGCTGCAGCTGGGATGAGGAAGGATTCACAGTTTCAGCCCTTGGCACCAGGCCGGGATCAGTGCCGAAAGGGCTGGGCCAGGGCACTAGAATCAGTGGTTTCCAGGGCTGAAAGAGACTTAGGGTGAGGGTGTGTCCAGAGTCAGCGTGGCTTTCCTGTGGCCTTTGGGCCAGAGAGGACGCTGGTGGAGTTGGGTAGGATGGGCAGGCATTGTGGATTGTGAGTGGCTCTCCAGGCCCTGCCCTGGGTTCTAGGCCTGGTGTGACACTAGTTGTGTGGAGAGATTAAGCTTCTCAGTAGACCTAAACCTCTATTTGTTTGTAAGTACAATGATGACTTTTAAGGTCTGTGACAGATTTAGCAAACTATATGAATAGCAAAATAAACTAAGTCTTCCTTTTTTATTTTCAAGGAAGCATTTGCTAGTTTCTATCCAAACACAACTGAATTCCTTACTATTGCATGCTATTCTCAGGTCCTAAAATAGTGGTTTCTATTTTTGAAGATCAACAAATGATTCAGTTTGACTAGAGCACGGAAAGGGAACAAGAAAGCCACTAACAAGAAGTGTGACCTGAAAGGGAGGCTGGAGTGGGGTCATGAAGCAGACCACTCGTAGACTTGAGCTTAAGGAGCCACTGTCTTGGGCACCATGGTTAGGAGAAGCCCCCTTCCCCCCCCACACACACACACGCTGCTGTCTGTAGTGTACTCAGGATACTTGAGCATTGCCCAGCCAGGTGCCCCCAAATACCGTGTGTTCTCTGCCCCGGCCGTGTCAGAGCATGCCATTTGTGTAGCTCTATGTCTTAGGGGTGACCAAGGGCAGTTGTTTGCAGGTGTGGGGATATGGGCATGAACGTTGGAGGGTCCACAGGACACAGGAGCTAAGGGTGGGACTCCTGGTGATCGTGGGGAGCTAAGGGCAGGACAAGAACAAAGGCAGCTGCAGACTTCTGGGGTGGCTACATCCCAGCCAGAAGCCCTTACAAAGTCTACACAAACATAACCTTTCTGAAGTGGCAGCATTTAAGCAGAGACCTGAATGAAATAAGGGACTGACTGAGGAGACGGGGGCACCCCAGCACAGGTGCCTGGAAGACCAGCAGGGCAGTCCTGCTGAAGATTCAGTAGTACAGATCTTTAGGAGGGCTGGCCAGCTCAGCCTTTGTAGACCAGAATAAGGATTTCTTTTCTAAGAATGTTGGGAAATCCTTGCAGAGTTCCAAGTAGGGGAACGCTTCATCTGATTCACTTCTTACGAGCTTGAAGGGAGAGCAGCATGGTGGAAACAGGAAGACAACTAGGTAGGATGTTACTACTGCGTTTCCTTTCTTTTTTTTTTTTACCTTTTCTAATTTATTTTGTTAAAAATATTTTAACTTTTTAAATGTAGTAGAATACACATAATATAAAACCCACCATTTAAACCATTTTTGTGTCCAGTTAGGAGCATTAAGTACATTCCATTGTTGTGCAGCCGTCACCACCTCCAGGACGTTTGCGTCTCACAAGACTGAAACTCTGCACCCATTACACAATAATTCCTGCTTTCCCTCTCACTTCAGCCCCGCCAGCCAGCTTTCTACTTCTGTCTCCATAAATCTGACTACTCTAGATACCTCATATAAGTGCAATCACACAGTATTTGTCTTTTTGTGATAGGCTTATTTCTCTTAAAGTGTCTTCAAGGATCATCCATGTTGCAGTATATGTAAGAATTTTCTTCCTTTCTATGCTAAATAATATTCCATGGCATGTATGTTCCACATTTTTTTTATCCATTCATCAATCAATGGACTTCTGGGTTGCTTCCACCTTTTGGCTATTGTGAATAGTGCTACTATGAACTTGGGTGTATAAATACCTCTTCAAGACCCTGCTTTCAATTCTTTGGAGTATATTCTTTTTTTTTTTTTTATCTTCACCCGAGGACATTTTTCTATATGTTGTTCAGATAGAGTGGGAGAGAGAGAGAGAAACATCGACGTGAAAGGGACACATAGAGTGGCTGCCACCCACACGACCCAGCCAGGGCTGGGGACAAATTGCAGCTGAGGTATGTGCCCTTAGCGGGAACTGAACCCAGGTCTCTCTGGACTGTAGGCCGACGCTCTAACGGCTCAGCCAAACTGGCCAGGGCTGGAGTATATTCTTAGAAGTGGAATTGCTGGATCATATATATGGTAATTCTGTTTTTAATTTTTTGAGAACCCATACTGTTTTGCTTAGTGGCTGTAACATTTTATATTCCTAACAGCAATGCACAAGGGTCCAATTTTTCCACATCCTTGACAACACTTGCTATTGTCTGTTATTTTTTGTTTTTGTCTTTGTAATAGCCATCCTTGTATGAAGTGGTGTCTCATTGTGGTTTTGATGTACACTTCCTTCATGATTAATGATGTTAAGTATCTTTTCATGTGCTTATTGGCCATTTGTATATTTTCGTTGGAGGAATGTCTATTCAAGTCCTTAGCTCATTTTTATATTGGGTTATTTGTTTTTGTTGTTGTTGAGTTGTAGGAGTTGTGTTTGTCTTCTGGATATTAATCTTTTATCAGATATGTGATTTACAAACATTTTCTCCATTTCTGTGGATTGCCTTTTTACTCTGTTGGTAGTGTCTTTTGAAGCACAAAAGTTTTTAATTTTTACAAAGTCCAATTTGTCTATTTTTTTTAAGCCTATGCTTTTGGTGTCATATATAAGAAATTACTGCCAAATCTGTGAAGCGTTCTCCTTACTTTCTTCTAAAGTTTTAGCTCTTTATTGTTTCAGCTCTTATATTTTGAGTTAAATTTTGTGCTTGGTGTCAAGAGTTCAACTTCACCCTGGCTGGTTTTGCTCAGTGGTTAGAGCATCAGCTGGTGGACTGGTGAGTTGCGGGTTCGATTCTGGTCAAGAGTATGTGCCTCAGTTGCGGTTTGTCCCTGGCCCTGGTCAGGGTCGTGTAGGAGGCAAATTGGACTGGTTGCCTCCTACACGATGTGTCTCTCTCACATCGATGTTTCTCTCTCTCTCTCCCCCGCTTCCACTCTATCTGAACAAAAATAGAAAAATGTCCTCATATGAGGATTTCAAAAAAAGAGCCCAACTTTATTTCTTTGCATGTGGATATCCAGTTTTCTCAGAACCATTTGTTGAAAACACTATCTTTTCCCATGAACAGTCTCAGCACCCTTGTCAAAAATCATTTGACCATAAACATGAAGGTTTATTTCTGGGCTGTCTATTCTACTCTGTTAGGCTACATAACTGTCTTTATGACAAGACTACATTGTTTTTTTTAACCGTCACCCGAGTACATTTTTGCATTTATCTTCAGATAGAGCAGGAGGGAGAGAGTGGAAAGGAGAGAGAGAGAAACTTTGACATGAGAGAGACACATGGAGTGGTTGTCACCCAAACAACCCCAGCCTGGGCTGGGGACAAACTGCAACCGAGGAATATGCCTTTAGTGGGAACCAAACCCGGGAATCTAGTCCATGGGCCGACGCTCTAACCTCTGAGCCAAACTGGCTGGGGCCTAGACTACATTGTTTTGACTACTGTAGTTTTATCCTAAGTTTTGAAATGCAGAAGTATCAGTCCTTCAACTTTGTTCTTTTTCAATATTATTTTGGCTTTTTGGAATCCCTTTAGATTCTATATGAATTTTAGGATGTATTTTTCTATTTCTGAAAAATAATCATTGGCATTTTAATGGGGATTGTACTGAATCTGGACAGTCGACCCTCATTTATCACGGTTAATCCGTTCCCGACTCCACTGTGATAAATGAATGTCTGCAAAGGAGGGTTCTTTATTATGTACTGTCGTCCCTCCCACTTCATGCTTCAGCGTTCACGGCTTCACTCTATTGCGGTTTTCTCAGATATATACAGTATTTGAAAAAACCGCGATAGGCGAAGTGCGAAGTGGTGAGGGATGACTGTATTGGTTTAGGTAGTATTGCTATGTTAATAATATTGTTTTCCAATCCGCAAACATGAGATTTTTTTTCATTTATTTCTGTCTTCTTTTATTTCAACAGTGTTTTGTAGTTGTCAGTGTACAAGTTTTTCACCTCTTTAGTTAATTTGTAAGTATTTTATTCTTCTCCATGTTATTGGAATTGTTTTCTGTTAGTGTATAGAAATGCAACTGATTTTTATGTGTTGATTTTGTATTCTGCAACTTTGCTGAGTTTGTTTGTTGGTTCTAACAGGTTCTGTGTGTGCATATTTGTGTATAACCTTTAGGATTTTCTACATATAAGAGTATGTTATCTGCAAACAGACATATTTTACTTCTTTCTTTCCAATTTGGGTGCCTTTTATTTCTTGCCTAATGTTACTGCATTCTACCCTAGAAATGATGAGGATTTTAATGGGGTCTGGGGAGGTGAGAAACTGTTGTATTTGGGGCATATTTTGCAGGTAGAACAAATGGAATTGGTTGGCTTGGATGCTGGTTGTGGGAGAATGAGAGAAGTTAAAGATGACTTCTTGGTTTATAGACATATTAATGGGTAAATCATTGTGGTGCCATTTGATTGGATGGTTATTGATGGAGGAAGGTAAGACTGAGAAAAGGAGAGAAAAGCTCTGTTTTGGACACATTAAGTTTGTCCATGGATGTGGATAATGTAGACATAGATAAGAGAATACAGTCAGAAGACAGACTTTTGGGGCAAGCTCACATTTAGAAAAGGAGTGAAAGAAGAAGCATCAGAAAGAGAGGCAAAGAAGAAGCAACCCACAGGGTAGAAAAGGAACCAGGAGAATCAGAGAAACAAGGAGAAAAAGTTTTAGGAAGTGGCATTGGTTAATTATATAACCACTTGAGGAAGGAAGATGAAGACGAAGAAAGAACTTTTTACATGATCAATGAAGGAGTCACTGGTAACCTTCCAGAGAGCATTTCCAGCAGGATGGGTAGGGTCTCCTCCTGATGGCAAGTAAGTTGAAAAAGCAAGTAGGTGATGGGAAGTGCTCCAGACAGATCTAAAATCCTGTACATTTAAGGCTAAAATGTTGTTACAGTTGTCATGGAAACAAAAACCAGTTAATAGAACTAAAAGCCACGTAAAACTGATGACTCCAGCCCATCACATCCCCTTGATATGTTGTGAAAGATACTGATAAAAACAGTCACTAGAGAGTCAGAGCTAATCTAGGTTTCTTCCTTTTAGAAGTAGTTCCTAACTAGACATCTTCCTTCTCCTTGAGAAGAAGCCAGCACCAATACCCATACCAAGTTTCTACAAAGCACGGATGACCCGTTGACCAAAAGTTCCTTTTTCTCTTACTATTGGCTGACACTGTTCATGAAGCATAATTACATCTTCCACTTTTCTTTTAAATGAGCAAGCTGAATTACTTGGAGGAGGGAGGCAGAGAGATAGAAGAGACAGAAGCCAAGGCAGCTGAAAGAAAGAATCCTCAGGTGAGCATTTTTATCTTTTCTTTGTTAATTCATTGTTGAGAATTATGCCTTGCTTATCACTTCATACATAGTCAGAAGAATTACTTTTGAAAAGTAAATTATTTTTGTTTGACTATATATTTTTTCTACCATATACGTAGTAGTTTAAAAAATATTAGGAAAATACAAAAAGGTAGAGAGAAGCAAAAGCCACAGATGAGATAGTCTCTACTGATCCGTGTGTGTGTGTGTGTGTGTGTGTGTGTGTGTGTGTGTTGGGGGAGGGGGTATTTCTTTTACATTCTTTTTTTTGTGCTTCTGTGTATAACTTTAGTTTGATTTCCATAATTGTGTTCATATAGTAAGGATATATTTATACACATATTTATTTTTCCACATGGCCATGAATTCTTGATAGTCATAATTTTAAATTACTGCACAACATTGCATTGAAGAGATCTACTATACTTTACTGTGCGTTCACTTTTGGCTATATGTCATCTTCCCTATTTTTCATAGATGGGTCATTTTATTATGTAAAATGTGTTTTTCTTTTCAGGGTCTTATTTTGGGGTGGATGGAAAGGAGGTTAAATTTTTGAATATGGATTTCATTGGTCTTCCTCAGAGGCACAATGAGGGGAAAGAGTGTGTGAGAACATATGTTTATAGCTGTTTATTACCCTTTGGGGTCTCAATCAGTGGTTCTCTACTCTGGCTGCACATTCAACCTGATCCTGGGATTAGAAAATTACTCCTAGAAGTAGTGAAACTTAACTTTTAAAGATAAGCCAGTCATCTGTAGCAGTTTCTTGCTTTTCTTTTTTCCAAATATTTCCCAGGTGTTTCTAATGAGTGGTCAACATAATAACCGCTGATCTAAGTCATTTGAAATATTTTACTGTTTCTGGCACATGCCTGAGAGTAATACACATCAAGGGAAAGAGAGGTACAATTTCAGGCAAGCACCGACATCTCCCTTTTAATACTGTATTTAATAATGCAAGAATAATTTGTGGGAAACATAAGACTTCTAGAAATTTCTATCATCCATCTCAACCACATAAACTGAGAATCTTTTTGAGAGTTTCAATTTACTAATGTTTTAAAGAAATTGATTTGTTTCCGATGTATTTGTTTCCAAGTTAGGAACATTGAGGCTCCAGAATGTTCTAAATGTATTGAAATTTAGCCCAGCATCTGTTAGTATTCTGCCTTCCTACCCAACTGGGGTCCTAAGGTGTACCCCCATTGTCCAAGCAGCACCTGTTCTGGAAGAAAGCAGCTATACTTTGCAATGTGACTCATTGGTGTATATTAGGATAGTCTAGAGCATTTAAAAATTTTGTGTGTATTCATTCCAGGCTCAGGGACTCTTCCCGCTTTTCTAGTTTATCTTGCACACCAGACATCTGAGGTGTGCTGGTCCCCGAAGGCTAAGTCTGGAAGATGAAAGTCTAACAGGGGCTTGGTTTGTGCAATTATCCACTGGGCTTGGGTTAGTGCAGCATCCCAGCTGGATCATGCAGAGAAAGGCAAGTGTTGGCCTGGTTGCTCAGCCTTGCTATAGAGCCTTTTCAAAGTCCTGTGAGAAGCCCCAGCACTGTCTGTGCTTTTCCTGGGATGCTACTCACTGTCTTCTTTGTATTGTAGTTACTTATGTGCGGGTCTCATCCTTTCACTGGACAAAGAGTGCCCGAGGATGGAGTCCTCCCAGAAAACCCAATACATGAGCTCTATTAAGAATAAATGGTCCTGGCCGGTTTGGCTCAGCGGTTAGAGCGTCGGCCTGTGGTCCAGAGAGACCGGGGTTCGGTTCCCACTAAGGGCGCGTACCTCGGTTGCAGTTTGTCCCCGGCTCTGGTTGGTTGTGCGGGTGGAAGCCACTCGATGTGTCCCTTTCACGTTGATGTTTCTCTCTCTCTCTCTGTTCCTCTCTCTCCCTCCCACTCTACCTGAACAAAAAATGGAAAAATGTCCTCGGGTGAGGATAAAAAAAATAAAAAAAAGAAGAAATGGAAAGGTGTAAATAAATGAATTCATCAGTGAATGTGAACTTTAGTTAACAGCTTATGTTTATCTCTGTTAAGCCTATTAACCTCTATACATTCGGCCCTTGTTTATCACGGTTAATCAGTTCCAGACTCTACCACGATAAATGAATTTCCGAGAAGTAGTATTCTTTCTTTATACACAGTCATCCCTCGCCACTTTGCGCTTCGACTTTCGCAGCTTCACTCTATTGCGGTTTTTTCTAGTATAGTATTTGAAGCCACAAAAGTTGAAGTGCGAAGTGGCGAGGGACAACTTGACCCATGGAGAAAATGATACCATCTTTGATAATATTTAAATGAAAACTTCTCTTACTGGATTGATGACTTCGTGGCAAGATGGGTTCACTCCTTTGACAAAGAAACTAATGGGGTCCTGAGCAGCTGGGGCCAAAGAACCCCAAAGTGGGAAGGGTCTTTAGGAAAAGCCAGGGCCAGGCATGGGAGCTTTTTTGCATCTCCTGTGTTTCCAGGCGAGATTTCAAAGAAGAGGGGAAGCAGATCTGAGGAAGAACAAGAAGGCAATCAGGAGAGGGGAGGGGAGCGACAGGGAGAGGAAGAAGGTGGAGAGAAGGCATGGGAGGGGAGGAGAGAGGAGGAGAGAGGAGGAGAGCCTATTTGCTCTGGAATTTTAAAGATCACTTAAGCTGGGAGAATTAAAAAGGATTCAGTCCATCGTTATTACCTCTATTGTACATTATAAAAACAAGAATTATTATCATGGAAAAAAGTATGTTTCATATACGTGTCGTCCTGTGAGGCTGCAGAGACAGCATTTTAGCTCATTTGCACCTCTGGTACAGAAGGCACGGTTGTCTGTGGAGCACTTGGAGGCATCACAGATTCCTTAAGGTAAGCTGATTGCTTTTTATTTTAAGTTTACTTAACAATAACTTTGTTCCCTTACAAATTCTCTGAGAGATTTGAAGGAGGTTTCTCTTGTTAGCCGTAGCAGACACAAGTCTCTACAAGGAACTTGTTGGCACAGAGTTAGAAAGACACTTTGCAACCTCAGTGATATAAATAGTGTCACTTCCTGCAGTATTTAGAGAGCACCATTTGAGCCTCCTCTGTGACTGCCTCTCGTCTCCTTGTAGTCCTGTCCTCAGAACACAGGTTTCCATTTCAGAGACAGAAAGTGTGTGAAATAAAATGCACTAACATTATTTTGCTGCATAAGATCATTGGGAATTTTTCCCCCCAGAAGACATTTATTGTGAGACATAAAGAAGGGGTTGGATAACAGCTTCATTAGCTTATTTATTGGCTATTTATTTGAGCACATTCTTATGCCACAGGTTGTGTTAGGGCCTGGGGATCCAGCAGTGGTCAAGTGAGACTCCATTCTTGCTGTCAGTGGGCATACAGTCTAGTGGGTGGGGATGGACATAGTTTCCACCCCGAGGGGTAAGTGCAAGGACAGGAAGCCACCAAGCTGCAGGAGCAGGTGGAGCCACACCCAGCCCAAACCGGAGGGTCAGAGAAGGCTTTTTCTAGGAGGAGCAATATCTAAAAAGAAACCTGAGGTTGGGTAAGTAGCCAGGTGACAAACGAGCCCAGAGTGAATAGGTGAGAAAGAGCCAGATATGTTTTGGGCGTTGAAATAAGTTCCGTGAGGCTGGAGTAGATTTTCCTGAGGGCAGTGGTAGGGAGAGAAGATACTGGATGCCAAGATCCACATTGTGAAAAGCCTGGTGTTGAACTTTATTGTAAGGTGATGATGGGTTTTAAGCGGAAGGGTAAAGTAGTAAGATATTCATTTTGGAAAGGTCACTCTGGCCACTGTGGAGAAAATGGATTGAGAACAGCAAGAGTAGAAGCTGGGAGCCACTCAAGAGACTGTGTCCTCCGTCATCCAGGTGAGAGACGACACCTGTACTAGGAAAGCCCTGAGCTGACCCCCATGTCAGAAGGAGGGGCTTGTGGAGACAGGTAGGCAGTGAGGCAGGTCTGTTGCAGGGGAGACACTGGGCAGCAGGATGGTCTGGGGAGGAGGAAAGCTGACAGTCTTCTTTGTTCCTTGCCCTCTTCTCTTTAGGTTCAGATGCCCACAGCCCCCAGGCTACTAGCAGCTGCCTAGGGTATTACTCGGGCAATTCCCTGGTTTTTGAGTTTTCTAGACATATGGAAACATTCTCTCCTTATCTGTGTGTTTCTTACTATCTTTACACATATTTTATACACAGCATTCTAAAACGTCTTGAGGTGTTCCTTTCCTGGACAGCAGGCAGGGCTGCACCAGCAGTGACGATGCCTCAGATGCATGCGATGAGCCTGGCTCCCAGCAGCTGTGTGGGAGGCTTTGCTTGTGTCGCCTCCTCTGGTCCTTGCAATAGCACAGTTGGCAAGGGCTAGAGCCAGGGTTTGGATCCTGCTGGAATTTACTCACCAAGGCTTTTCATGATATCACAATACCTCTAGATCATTCTAGCAAACAGGATGTTTAACAAGCTACCTTTGTAAGAACAACAAAAAAGTCCTTTGCTGTAATAAATGAATTTAATGGTGCAATATAAAATGCCTATATAGGAGAGGAGAAAAAGAGAAGGAGTTTTAATTTGAATAAGTGGGTTTTGGGGGAGCCCCTGGGTCATGTCATTTAGCCACTTTGATTGAGGATGGGGAGAGTCCTTTTGCTGACGCAATCCCTAGGAAATCATTGGAAGTAATTTGGCAATGGCCTCTGGGATAACACTTGCTCGTTGACTATCTTTCTTCTTCTGTCTTTGACATCAGAAGAGTTGGGAATCAAGATTCAAATACAAATGATTCTGCGGCCTTCCTTAGATCAGAAATTCGGTTAATAATAGATACCTCCATTCTAGAAACATGACTAAAATTTGTTGAGATTGTTTTATAAATTCATAGTCAGCATAACAGGTTCATACATTCTCTTAAAAGGAATAGCTGAGGAAAGTGATGAGAGCCAGAAAGAAGACAGCACTTAATCACAACAATGCTTAAAAAAAAT